TTTTAGGAATATGATGTTGCATAAATTGCACTGCATCTCCAATGTTATGCCATCTTGTTTATAAAATTTTATATTAGTTTATAAAATGACTGATAAATGAAATAATTGCCTACCAAATTTATATAGCCTCTGTTTTTAACTTCTACTTCTACCCTTTCTCTCCAAATTTTATTTTACTGCTTTCTTTTAATACAGACTTAAAGGAAATAGAAATGTTGCCAATTGCAGAAACACCTAGGAAGGACTTAACCAGATCCTCATGAATTTTAATTGCCAGAACTGGATAGACTATATTCATTGCAGCTTTCAGAATTGTCTTTTTTTTCTTTTTCTTTAATTTGAGCATGTAGGTAACAGTGCTAATTTTCCTGGCAGCTTTTGCTTTAACATTCCCTATTCTGTATTAGTCCCACCGGCCTGCCCCAGGCCTTGGTTAAATGTACTGTTTAGATGGTTTAGCGTCTAAAATGTAGTCATTTTTTTTCCTAATTTAGCTAAGTAGTTTTTGGTTCCTTTCCCCAAATTCCATGATTCTGTGGTTAATTTAAAAGTATATTATCGTATGCTCTTGGATTAGAAGAATCAGTATTGTGAAAATGACTATACTACCCAAAGCAATCTACAGATTCAATGCAATCCCTACCAAGTTACCAATGGCATTTTTTACGGAACTAGAACAAAAAATCTTAAAATTTGTATGGAGACCCAAAAGACCCTGAATAGCCAAAGCGGTCTTGGGGGAAAAAAACGGAGCTGGAGGAATCAGACTCCCTGATTTCAGACTATACTATAAAACTACAGTAATCAAGACAATATGGTACTGGCACAAAAACAGAAACATAGATCAATGGAACAAGATAGAAAGCCCAGAGATAAACCCATGCACCTATGGTCAATTAATCTATGACAAAGGAGGCAAGGACATACAATGGAGAAGACAGTCTCTTCAGTAAGTGGTGCTGGGAAAACTGGACAGCTACATGTAAAAGAATGAAATTAGAACACTCCCTAACACCATACACAAAAATAAACTCAAAATGGATTAGAGACCTAAATGTAAGACCAGACACTATAAAACTCTTAGAGGAAAACATAGGAAGAACACTCTTTGACATAAATCACAGCAAGATCTTTTTTCATCCACCTCCTAGAGTAATGGAAATAAAAACAAAAATAAACAAATGGGACCTAATGAAACTTAAAAGCTTTTGCACAGCAAAGGAAATCATAAACAAGACGAAAAGACAACCCTCCGAATGGGAGAAAATATTTGCAAATGAATCAACGGACAAAGGATTAATCTCCAAAATATATAAACAGCTCATGGAGCTCAATATTAAAAAAACAAACAACCCAATCCAAAAATGGGCAGAAGACCTAAATAGACATTTCTCCAAAGAAGACATACAGATGGCCAAGAAGCACATGAAAAGCTGCTCAACATCACTAATTATTAGAGAAATGCAAACCAAAACTACAATGAGGTATCACCTCACACCAGTTAGAATAGGCATCATCAGAAAAATCTACAAACAACAAATGCTGGAGAGGATGTGGAGAAAAGGGAACCCTCCTGCACGGTTGGTGGGAATGTAAATTGATACAGCCACTATGGAGAACAGTATAGAGGTTCCTTAAAAAACTAAAAATAGAATTACCACATGACCCAGCAATCCCACTACTGGGCATACACCCAGAGAAAACCATAATTCAAAAAGACACATGCAGGGCTTCCCTGGTGGCGCAGTGGTTGAGAGTCCGCCTGCCGATGCAGGGGACACGGGTTCGTGCCCTGGTCTGGGACAATCCCATGTGCCGCGGAGCGGCTGGGCCCGTGAGCCATGGCCACTAAGCCTGCACGTCTGGAGCCTGTGCTCCGCAATGGGAGAGGCCACAACAGTGAGAGGCCTGCATACCACACACACACACAAAAAGACACATGCACCCCAATGTTCATTGCAGCACTATTTACAATAGCCAGGTCGTGGAAGCAACCTAACTGCCCATCAACAGATGAATGGATAATGAAGATGTGGTACATATATACAATGGCATATTACTCAGCCGTAAAAAGGAACAAATTGGGTCATTTGTTGAGACGTGGATGGATCTAGAGACTGTCATACAGAGTGAAGTAAGTCAGAAAGAGAAAAACGAATATCGTATATTAACGCACATATGTGGAACCTAGAAAAATGGTACAGATGAAGTGGTTTGCAGGACAGAAATTGAGACACAGATGTAGAGAACAAACGTACGGACACCAAGGGGGGAAAGCGGCGGGTGGTGGGGGTGGTGGTGTGATGAATTGGGTGATTGGGATTGACATGTATACACCAATGTGCATAAAATGGATGACTAATAAGAACCTTCTGTATAAAAAAATATATATTATTCAAGTCATCAAATGAAAATAAATAAGTAAATAATTTTTTTAAAAAAGTATATTATGGTATTTGATCAGAAGAAGTCATGTGAAGTGACAACTAAAGTTACTTTTGTGATTTTCTTGGGATTTTGAAAGCCAGTAAGCTCAGGTGCCGAGTTGCGTGCTTCCAGTAGTTTATAGCAGATGAAAGTGGATTCTGTTTGAAATTTAGTTTACCTAATTGTACCAATTATAATTTTAAAAAATCATTTAATATGACATCTTATAGAGAATGCAGTCAAACAGTTTTAGGGGTGACTCTATTTAAGTGATTCAACAGGTAGCATTTATATTAAGTACATTAGACTTCAAGCCTCACTTCTTATGGTACACTATTTGGAACCGTTCCTGAGATTATTCACTAATGATTGACAGTTGAACTATCATTGATTCTTCCTGCTGCTAGAGGCTTCTGTAGTCATTTTAATCATAGACTGTTAGAACTGTGTTAGGTAGTTATCTGCACCCATGGACCTTGGAGTCTAGTGGTGATTTATCAGATGACTATCTTTGAACTGATAGGGACTGGTTCCAATAGTTCAAGCAGAAAGGTGGGGTGGGATAAGACATTACTGAGGCTGTAGTAAACAAAAGAGCATTTTTGAGTAGGTCTCAATGATTGGATCAAAGATTGTGTGTATAGGGTGAAGATTTTGGTGTATGAAGGTGAGAGATGAGGTTGCAAACCACTGTAGCTTTATGAAGAGCCTTCACTGCTATGCTTTGCTTATATTGGAGAAGCATCAGAGGCCTTATGTAGGGAAATGTAAAAAAAAAACTTAGGAAGCAGTGACGTAAAGGAAATCAGGGAGACTTGATACGATGTTAGCACAAGCAAGAAACGCAAGCAGTGGGTAAGAGCTTGAACTAGGGCAGTGACTGCAAATGCTGAAGAGAGATGGACTTCAGAGGTAAATGATCTGGGGCTTGACGTTTGAATGGAATGAAAGAATGTTGTAGATGTTCAGTAAAAGTTTGTGGATATTTTGGTGTGTTTTAATATATAATTGAAACTAAATCAGAATATCTTGTATTTACACTTGAAATACCCTATTCTTTTCCCATAGAAATAGGCATTTTAAGAAATAAAAACAAATGAAAAAATAAATTATAATGCAAAGTAATCTACCTAACTTAACAACATTATTTGCTTCATGTTTTATAGCAATATTCTAGACTTGTTTATATCTTACTTAGTTTATATTCCATAAATGATTAAGATTTTTAAAAAATGAAAGTAACTATATTTAATAAAAAATTTTAACCAAGTTTCCCAATGAAAAGAAAATTTTTGAGGGGTAAAAAGAAAAAAAAATACTGATGCATTTCTAGAATTTCAAAATACATTAAAAAGAGGACTACTATAAGCTTCCTTAATTTTTCCATAATGAATATTTTTTACAGTAGGAACAGAAGTTTTTACCTACTGAATTTATACTCATTTCTAGTCTGTTCAAACTCAGGGTGAATAAAACGTATCTTAACACCTATAGATATATTAAATGGTTGGGATCAGAAAAGGTTTTGATGTGTGAAAATTTAGTTGCATCTCAAGATACTTTAATGAAGTATAAATAGAAAAACTGAGAATGTTTGGCATATGTCCAATCTCAGGGTGACATTTACCTTGCTATAAATGGAGAGATGGTTGATGTCTCTAGAAAAAACTGTCATTTATACTGATGAAGTAGACAGATGAATGGGTGGTAGGGGGAGTTGCTCTATGTAAAATTCTTTTAAAAAACTGAAGATCTGCATTAACGTGGATTGCTTTGGTATATGCTAAAGCTTATTAAAAGACCCAGCGGTTTAGATGACAAGAAGGCTATTCTGGAGATGGTTAAATTCAGCTCGATTTTAGTTAGAATTTTTAAGATGCCTTTCAATAGGTGTTAATTATGGAGGCAGCTCTCATTATCTTTGCTAACGTGAGGTAATCAGTGGAAACATAATTCAAAATAGGGGATATTGTAATAGTTTTGACATTGAGATATATTTACCTCTTGCAATTTGAATATGGATGATGATCTTCAGAGGGGAATTTCATTTAAACAAAATAAGAAGATTCCTCTGTGAGGAGTAAAGAAAAAAGGTATGTTGTTTGCTTGAGAAATTTGATCAAGAATTTCCTTCCCATAGTTTCTCATTTTTTAATCATAGTAAGAAATTATTAGGGGAAAATAAGCAGAAGAGAATTTTCAATAGATTAGTGAATTTTGGATATCAAAATTGGGGGACTCAGTTTCCATACTGATAATTATTTTTCATGTTTCTCTTTCCAATGTCCAGTCATCTCTCAAACAAAATAGAAGTATCCTTTAACCAGTTAATTGATAACTTTGCTTTTTTCTTTGATTCCTAGAGAAATGGGAGGTATGTTACAACTATTTTTTTATGTTTAGATAATAATTATGATACTTAGAAGTGCCAAATTTATTAGACTTTTAAGTGTAAGTTTATACTTAGAATTGTTTTGACACAAATTTTGAATCAGTTCGTATTTAGTTGTAGTTTTAACTAGTCATGATTTTAAGTTACTACATCACTGTATTCTTTTTCTTTAATTTGTTAGATACATACAAATCCGTGCTTTTATCAGTCTTCTGAGAAGAGCCAGCTCTTACCATTGAAGACAAATCTATGGCACTGGTTGAATCCTGGAGATAGTTTCTCTTTATTAGTTGACAAATACATTTTTCGTGTTTTGTCTACACATTCTGAAACGGAAGTGGAATGTACTTTAAGGTAAGATTGCCTGATGAAATGCAATTAAGTAATGGTATTTGTAATCTAATTCCTCAGTCATCCACAAAAGCTTCAGTAGACACCACTCTAGAATTCAACTAAATTGGCGATAGGTCTTACATGGTGAGAGTGTGTGTGTGTGTGTGTGTGTGTGTGTGTGTGTGTGTGTGTGTTTCTAGAAAACATTAGATTTTGGAAACTTATGCTTCAATAGTGATTGCTTCCATATGTTGTATCTTTTACCATTGTGTTTAGAATATATTTCGCATCTAACAATAACCAGGGTAGTTAATTTGAAACTGACTACATTTTCTTAATCTTTTTTTTTAGTTTTTAAAATTTTCTTAAGGTATTAACCTCTGTTTTAGATTATGCTTGTATAACTCTTATTTCTTATAAAAATAACAGAAAATATAGAATAGGGAAACGGATGAAATGAGGTTACAATAAATAGCTGATGTAAAATTGAAATTAATGCACTAGTTTTGTTGAGGCAGTCATTAGCAGATTATTCCCCTTTGTTTTAGTTTTTAAATTATAGAATACTTAAACTGGACCTATAGAAGTAGATGGACAAAATTATATAGAGAGTGTTCTTTGACGGCACTGGTATTAAATTTAAAAATCAATAAAAATACAATATCTAGGAAAATCTTCAAGTGTTTTGAAATTAAACAGCACATACCTAGGTAACCTCTGGAACCCAGAGAAATCACAAGGGCGATTAGAAAACATTTTGAACAGAATAATACTGAAAACATAACAAAAACATTTGTGAAATATATCTAAAGTAGTCCTTTGAGGGAAATTTATATTAAATGCCTATATTAGAAGAGAAGAAAGAGGTAAAACTGATGCCCTTTGCTTCTATTTTAAGAAGATAGACAAACAGGAGTCAATTAATCCCAAAATAGACAGAAAAAAGGAAACAATAAGAAGAATAGGAATAGAAATCGACGAAACAGAACATAGACAAATAACAAAGAAGATCAACAAAGCCTAAAGTTAGTTTTCTGAAAAGACTAATAAAATTGATAAAATTGACAAGGCTTACCAAGAAAAAGAAGCTGGAAAACACAAATTATCAGTATCAGGAATGGGAGAGGCAATATCACTACTGATCCTGCAGACCTTAAAAGAATAATGAAGAAATAATTACGTAAAACTTTATGCCAGTAAAACTGATAGCCTAAATGAATGGATGCATTCCTTGAAAAACACAATTTACCAAAACTGATACAGGAAGAAATAGAAAATCTGATGAATCCTATGTCCATTAAAGAAATTGAGTTCCCGATTTAAGAATTTCCTGCAAGGAACTTCACTAGTGATTTCTCTTAAACTTACAAGGTACAAATAATACCAATATTATACTTTTTTCTCCAAAATAGAAGAGAGTACACTTCCCCACTCATTTTATGAAGCTTCCATAATCCTGATACCAAAATCAGACAAGAACATTACAAGAAAAGTAAATACAAACCCACATTCCTTATAACAAAATATTTAGAAGTCAAACCCAGCAATGTGTGAAATAGATTTTAATACACTATGACCAAGTGAAATTTGTCTGAGAAATGCAAGGTGAATTTATCATATATATAAAAAAAAAAAACCAATCAGTGAAATTCACTATAACAGATTAAAGAACTGTCATTCCAGTAGATGCCTAAAAACAATTGTGACAAAAATTTAATACCTGTTAAAAAAACCTTAGAGAAAACTAGGAAAAGAAGGAAATTTCCTTCCTATAAAAAAATACTTAGTAGTGAGGTATTGAAAAGTTCTCTCCCTACAGTTGGGAACAAAACAAAGATATCCATTTGCACAACTTCTATTCCATGTTGACTGGAGGTCCTAACCAGTCCAGTAAAGCAAGAAAAAGAAATAAAGTGCATCATACTGGAAAGAAAGAAGCAAAACTGTCTTTATTTGCAGATGACATGATTGTCTATTTAGAAAATCCTGAGGAAGCAAGGCACAAAACAATACCTACTGTATAGTTACATTTATATTACGTTCTATTATAAGAAAATTAATCCATCAATGTTTATTTCTGGAGGATTGACGAGGAAGGGGGGCCACAAGGGAGCTTTTTGGGGGTGCTGGATATATTCTCTGTCGTTTTAAAAATTATAGTTGATTTATAATATTACATTAGTTTCAGGTGTACAGCATAGTGATTCAGTATTTTTATAGATTATACTCCGTTTAAAGTTATTACTGAGAGATGGCTGTAATTCCCTGTGCTGTACAATATATCCTTTCGCTTATCCATTTTATTCACAGTAGTTTTTATCTCTTAATCCCATAACACTATCTTGCTCATCCTCCCTTCCCTCTCCCTAGTGGTATACACTAGTTTGTTTTCTATATCTGTGAGTCTCTTTCTGTTTTGCTATATACGTTCATTTGTTGTATTTTTTAGATTCCACATATAAGTGATAACGTACAGTATTTGTCTTTCCCTGTCTGACTTATTTCACTAATGTAAAACTCTCTAGGTCCCTGCATATTGTTGCCAATGGCAGAATTTTATTCTTTTTTATGGATGAGTAATATACCATTGTGTGTGTGTGTGTGTGTATGTGTGTGTATGTGTGTGTGTGTGTGTGTATATATATATATATATATATATATATGTATGTATGTATGTATCTTTGTATAACAACAGGCCATTCATCTGTTGATGGGCACTTGGGCTTCCATATCTTGGCTGTTGTAAATAGTGCTGCTATGAACGTCAGGGTGCATGTATCTTTTCGAATTAGTGTTTTTGTTTTTCTAGGATACGTAGCCAGGAGTGGAATTGCTGGATCATATGGTAGTTCTATTTTTAGTTTTTTGAGGAACCTCTGTAGTGTTTTCCATAGTGGCTGCACCAATTTATAGTCTTAAACAGTGCACAAGGGTTCCCTTTTCTCCACATCCTCACCAACACTTGTTATTTGTACACATTTTGATGATAGCCATTCTGACAGGTGTGAAGTGATATCTCATGGTGTTTTGATTTGCATTTCTCTAATAATTAGTGATGTTAAGCAACTTTTCATGTTCCTGTTAGTAATCTGTATGTTTTCTTCGGAAAAATGCCTACTTAAGTCTTCTGCCCACGTTTTGATCGGGTTGTTTGGCACATGGCTACACGGAGTTGCAAGGAAAGCTGGGCAATGTAATCTCCAGCTGGGTGGATAGCCATTGTTAAAGGTGCTTATAGATCAGTGCCATTACAACTTTGCTGACTGTTATGCAAATAATGTCCACTTAGCCTCTGATGGTTAAATGCTAACCACCTGGCCTCTGCAATTCTAGAATGCTGTCATCTCCATTGATGCTAAAGAGCCTTGTTCTTGGCAGCCTCTCCTACCATCAACATTGACCTATAGAGGCAGTTACCACTGAGCTCTTCAACACTGCCTCACTAGTATATAGCTTAGTGTTCTGGGCCCTTCTGGGGAACATGGTCAGGTGGGGGATTCTCTAGTCTCATGTAATAAGTCCATTTTAGCATGCCCACCTCTTAGAGCCTATTGACCCCCTTTTCAGTATCATGCCAGGGCATTCTCTATTTCTACCCTATTTACTGTAGACATATTCTTTTTCCAAGCATGAACAAGCCATTTCAGCTATATATTAGGACTGGCTTCAGGTGTCCTTGCCAGTACCTTAAATCCCAGGTTGCAGGACAGGTTGCAGTGTTTTTTTTCCAGTTTTATTCTGCATCCCCTGTTTTAGCATCTTCAAGATCTATTCTTGGGCATGCTCTTCTGGTTTCTGTCAGTACGTATTAGCCAGGTCCTGTAGCTCTTTAGTAAATATTTGCTTTCCTGTTGAAGTAGGGACAGTACTTTTCTAGTCAGGTAATGATGAGTTGACCTTGGTTATTGGAATAGAAGCCACGAGGGGTGGGAGGGCAGGTCTTGAGGAAGGCAAGTATCATCGTGACAGGTATACCATTAGGAGGCAGCTGCCTGGTCTCCAGACAAAGAAAGGCTGCTATCCTCTAGCAAGGGGGAGTGAACCATGTCTTAGACTGTGGAAGTATTGAAATATATTTTAGACATTTTTTGACACCATTGGGATTCTCATATATTTTAGAACTAGCTCCATTTTGTAGTGTCTACCTCATAAAAACACCATTGTACTGTTGTGTAAGATTTACACGTATGAACTTTTTAATCTTCACAACCATCTTTATAAGGAATAGGTACTGTTAAAATCTCTATATTACAGATTAGGAAACTGAGACACAGAAGGTTTGAGACTTGCCCAAGGTCTCATAGCTAATATGTGACAAAGAATTCAAATACAAGCTGACTAGGACTATAGCTCTTACTGACTTCCCTGACTGTATAAGAAAGCTTACTATAGCAGTCATTCTAATAGTGAAGACACTTGGAGAGTGGCTAAATAAATTTGGTGTAGTTTTAAAATGGAGTGAAAGTGAATGAACTAGAGAGAGCTCCAGGTTAAAATGTGGATAAATCTCCACAATGTAATATTGAGGAAAAAAACAAACAAAAAGATTACATATATATAAAGCATACACCGTTTGTATATAGATATATATTACATATTATACCTGTGTATTATGGATTACTTCATGAATAATATATATATTATGTGTATATATATATATACACAAGTAATGGATATATACATATAGTAGTAAAAGTATAAGGACATGCATGTGAATAATAAAATCAGAATAATTTTCCTTCAAAGAAGGGATGAGAGGGAGAGGAACAAGATTGAGGCTGGACACAGGAAGCTTTGATTGTATTTATAATTAATCTGGAGCAAATATGACAAAATGTTTCTATTTGGGTGGTGGATACAGAAGTATTTATATTAATAGATAGGCAGATAGAATACATACATTATATTTTCTCTATATTTCTACATGTTGAAATATTTTTAAATTTGAATAAGAACAGAAAAGAAAACCTATGTGCTTTGTGTCAGTTGTAAGGACCCCTGATATCATTGTAAATTTTTTCTTCCAACCAGTTATGAATTTAAGAAAGAGATTTGAACAACAAAACGACCGTACAAAAGCTTGTCATTTCTTTAGGTTCTCACTTCACTCATGCCAACATGCTTTTCATGTAGTGTTTACATTCTGTATAATAAATCCCATTCATAATGAACTCAATGAGAGCATATGGGTCTATATATATCAGCTCTAGTGTGTTCATTTTTCACTCTTTTCTGTATATGTTTCTATGAAATTATTCTGTGAGAAGTACTAAAATCCATACTTTTTTGAGAAGTCAAAGTAAGAAAGCCAAAAAAAAGTTTTAGATTTTAGCTAATTAAATTTTGACGTATTTCATATAGAAGGACCAACATTAATTTTGCATTCCTATTGCTTCCCCAGTAGTGGGTGCTTAGCAGGCATTGGCTTCTTGAATACATGAATGAAATATTGTATAACATTTTCTTTATCTGAATTTCATTGCTGATAAGGAAGTATAACATTCTCTCTCTAGAGGAATTATTTTCTTTAAAACACTGTTGAGGAAAGGAAAGTAAATCTTTTGTACCAAATTACATTTTTCTTTCAAATTGTTAAAGTTCTTAATACTTAGATTCCGTATAAATAGCTAATTTTAATCACTTTAATTTTGGACAGGACAAAACAATAAAATGTTGATGAAAATGCCATTGTAATATGAAAGTGTGCATGTTTACAATTCATTTATAATTATTTTAAAACTTACTTTTAGATCCAGCTCATACATATTAGCAGTACATTTTGTATTAAAGACAAAATATATAACTTATATTTAAATATAACTTGGAATATATCTTTAAGAGTTAAGAATAACTTAATTGCCAAAACAGTCTTTAAAAAGAAGAAAAGAGTTGGAAGATTCACACTTCATAATTTCAAAACCTGCTACAAAGCTACAGTAATCAAGACAGTGTAGTACTGGTGTGAAGAAAGACATACAGGTCAGTGGAATACAGTTGAGGGTCCAGATATAAACCCTTACACTATGGCCAATTAATTTTCTACAAGAGTGCCAAAACATTTAAATGGAGAAAAGAGTAGCCTTCTCAATAAGTGGTGCTGGGACAAATGCAAAAGAATGAAGTTAGACTCCTACCTCACAACATAGAAAAACTAAACTTAAAATGCACCAGAGACCTAATATAAGAGCTAAAACTATGAAATGCTTAGAAAAAAACACAAGTATACATTTTTGTGACCTTGGATTAGGCAATGATTTCTTAGATAGAAGAACAAAAGCACAAGCAAACAAAATAGACAAATTGGACTTCATCACAGTTAAAAACTTCTGTGCTTCTAAGGATACCATCGAGGAAGTGAAAAGACAACCCACAGAAGGAGAGGAAACATTTGCAAGTCATATATCTGATAGGGGACTTCTATCTAGAATATGTAAACAACTTTTACAGCACAGTAATAAAAAGACAACCCAATTTCAAAATGCATACTAAATTTGAGTAGACATTTCTTCAGGGAAAATGCCCGACTGGCCAATAAGCACATGAAAAGATGCTCAACATGAAATGCTAATCAGAGCCACAGTGAGATACCATTTCACGTTCAGTAGGGTAGCTATGGTAAAAAAGACATAATAACAAGTGTTGATGAGGTTGTGGAGAGATTGGAACTCTTATGCTTTGGTAGTGGGTTGTAAAGTGTTTCTGCCTCTTTGGAACACATTCTGGCAGTTTCTCAAAATTTTAAACGCAGAATTACATGTGACACAGCAATTGCACTCCTAGGAATGTACCCCAAAGAATTGAAAACATCTGTATACAAACAACTTGTATGATTCCATCTATATGAAGTTTCAGAAAATGTAAATCTCTAGAGACAGAAAGTAGATTAGCAGTTGCTGGGGCTGGAGAAGAGAATGGGAAGTGACTGCTGATGCATATGGGATTTCTTTTTGAGGTGATGAATATGTTCCAAAATTAGATATTGGTGATCATTGTACAACTTTGGAATATACTAAAACTACTGAATTTTATACTTTAACAGCATGAATTTCATGATTATGTGAATTATATCTTGATAGCTATTACCAAAGAAAAGGGTAACTCATTTACCTTTGTTATATTGTATTTAGATTAAATTCCAAGTTTTTATTTTTTAACAATTCTGATTACACTGTATTATAAATCTGTGATAGTTGATTACTTGAGGAAGTATTTGAAGATAATATAAGAATATGTCCATATCACAGTGACAATATTTATATTTAAATAAAAGTATAAGAGAATAATTTGCACTTTGACCTATTTGAAACTAAATGTTAGAATTTTGTTCTGGGATAGGATTTTTTTTGTTGTTATATTTATTCTTGGTAAATATTAATAAAAATTCCCTATGGCTATAGGATGTATGTGTATTAGTCTTGAATTTATGCCAGAATAGAAAAACTAGAAATGGAATGGATGATGTTGCTTAATTTGTAACACTGTAAGTTGTAAAAAGCCATTGCATTTCTCTGGAGTGTTTCTTAATATTTTTCAAATTAAATATTAAGAAAATTTGAGGAAAAAAATCAGAATTTGGAAGCACACCTGTGTGTTGTGAGTAAAATGGATTTGAATATTGTGATGGGAGTGCAATTTCATGCAATCATACATTTTCAACTCTGAGTCCCCAGTGCCTGGCACAGTGTCTGACACACCCTAAGTATTTAAAAAATATTTATTGAATGAACTAAAACAGTGGTGTTGCAGGGAAATTTAGTCTAAGTAAGTTGTTCTCTTTTGACTGATTCCTGCCATGAATTCGGGTCTGCCTTTGAAGGAGGTTATTCCTATAAGATTCACTAAAACAAATAAAACAAGCCATTAATTATTCTTTTCTCAGCTAGACAAAGTTTTTTAATGTTAGTGTTTACTGAGGAACATTTTACCAATAGTAAAATTCACCCCTCTTAAATGTATAATTCAATGCACTTTGACAAATTTGTGTAGTCATGTAAGTACCACCACAGTGAGATATAGAACATTTTCGTTTCCCCAGAAAATTCCCTCTTGCTTCTTTGTGGTCATTCCCCTCCGCCACCCACTGTTTCTGGCGACTTCTGATCTGATTTCTGTCCTTGTAGCTTTACCTCTTCAGAATGACATATGCATGGATTCATACGATATGTACTTTTTGTGTCTGGCTTCTTTCACTTAGCAAACTGCCTTTGAGATTCATCCAGGTTAATGTATATATCATACTTTTTTCCTTTTTATTTCTGAGTGGTATTTCCATCTATATTTTCAAATTTTCAAAAAGATAAGTCTGGGGCTTCCCTGGTGGCGCAGTGGTTGAGAGTCCACCTGCTGACGCAGGGGATGCAGGTTCATGCCCCAGTCTGGGGGGATCCCGTGTGCCGCAGAGCGGCTGGGCCTGTGAGCCATGGCCGCTGAGCCTGCGCGTCCGGAGCCTGTGCTCCGCGGCGGGGGAGGCCACAGCAGTGAGAGACCTGCGTACCGCAAAAAAAAACAAAAAAACGAAAAAACAAAAAAAAGATAAGTCTGTTGGATCATCTCTGTGCATACATAAAGAATAATGATCCAGAACTTTGGATGATCTTACCACACTTTGCAGCAAGTAGGAGGTAATTGGTTCTGCTAGTATGTTCCACATGTGACTGTGGATGCTCCTGTGTCGGACTACAAGTTTAGGGAGATTTCACAAGTGGCTGCACTGGCCAGGACCCCAGTAGCAGCTGTGTGTGAACCTGACCTCAGGATTTTATTTCTTTTTTCTTCAAGAGCCTAACTAGCTTAGCTGATGTTCTTACAGTTTGCATTTTCTTTTTGGATACTTGGAGGAGATCTTAACTTTTATGGACAATCTGAACAAATACTATATAGTAAGTAAATAACTCTTAAGCCTTCATAGAGATGGCCATTGCCCATCTTATAAATAGCTGTGGTTTCTAGGCCCATGTTTTGGAAAGATTAATGTATTTTATGGTGATAGAGTGGGCAGAAGATGAGGAACATATTCTAGTCTATATATTTTATTCTAGCATACTGTAATCTGCTTTTTTGTCTTCCTAAGTCTGAGAAAAGTAGCATAACCCATTAGTTAGATGTACTTGGGCGAATCACATAATGGCATGGTAGGCAATAGAAATGTTTTAAATTTAAGTGATTAATAAATGAATTTCAATTGTATTTCATAGAAACAGTCACATACATGATGAAGATGATATATTGAGTGAAACACCAAAATCTTCCTCGATTGATTTGCCTGATGAGACACCTGATGCCCCACAGCTGGAAAGAAGCACAGAAATAGGAAAGACCCAGACCGCTGCAAATAGTGTGGTAAGAAATTTAAGATCTCATCCGTTTATAACATGTTCTTTAAGGAAAGAAAAGACAACTGGTATTAGACATATCATGACAAAATTTCTAGCATCGATCTGCTTTTGCTGTTTTTAAGTTAAGCTCTAGAGAATATCACACTAGACCAACACTTCAACTAACAGAGATATTGAATTTCTTTCTTTGAGAACTTTGAGCAACTCAGTCCACAGTTGCAGATGGATTTTTTTTTTTTGTGGTACGCGGGGCTCTCACTGTTGTGGCCTCTCCCGTTGCGGAGCATAGGCTCCGGACGCGCAGGCTCAGCGGCCATGGCTCACGGGCCCAGCCGCTCTGCGGCACGTGGGATCTTCCTGGACCGGGGCACGAACCCGTGTCTCCTGCATCGGCAGGCGGACTCTCAACCACTGTGCCACCAGGGAAGCCCAGATGGATTTTTTTAATGGTAGTTTTCTGCAAAGTAAATACTTTTTATGGTTTTATTAAGGATGCAGGATTATTTTTAGCAATTCGTATATAAGTGCCTTTTTAGTCTTTCCTAGATGAAAGTAGAGACTTGAGTAAGCAACAGCCAAACCCTTCCCAGAGGAAAAGAATCCTTCCAGCGTGGATGTTAACAGAAAATCTAAGTGATCAGAACCTTTCAGTACCAGTCATCAGTGGAGGTAGGTTTTGTTTCAGGAAAATATTTAACAGAATTTGAAAGTTTTTCTGAACAAATGAAGACACAATAGCAGTTATGTAAGTGTATAACTTAGCCTAACATTTCTTTAGATGTGTTCATGAAGTCTAATTTTAAACATAAACTATTATTTTATGCCATTTATCAAACACCATTCTGCTAATTATTATGATTATGATTATTTTTCAGTGGCTTAAAACAGTACCCATTTATTAACTCGCAGGGTTTTTTTAAATGAATTTGTTTGTTTATTTATTTATGGCTGCATTGGGTCTTCGTTGCGGTGCGCGGGCTTCTCATTGCGATGGCTTCTCTTGTTGCAGAGTATGGGCTCTAGGCATGCGGGCTTCAGTAGTTGTGGCTTGTGGGCTCTAGAGCTCAGGCTCAGTAGTTGTGGCACACTGGCTTAGGTGCTCGGTAGCATGTGGGATCTTCCCGGACCAAGGCTCGAACCCGTGTCCCCTGCATTGGCAGGCGGATTCTTAACCACTGCACCACCAGGGAAGCCCTAGCTCACAGTTTGTTTTGTTTTGTTTTGTTTTGTTTTGCGGTACGTGGGCCTCTCCCTGTTGTGGCCTCTCCCGTTGCGGAACACAGGCTCCGGACGCGCAGGCTTGGCGGCCATGGCTCACAGGCCCAGCCGCTCCGCGGCATGTGGGATCTTCCTGGACTGGGGCACGAACCCGTGTCCCCTGCATCGGCAGGCGGACTCTCAACCACTGCGCCACCAGGGAAGCCCTAGCTCACAGTTTTAAAGATGAGAAGTCCGGCAGATTCAACTGAGTTGTTTGTTGAGATTTTCACAAGAGAAATCCAAGTGTCTGTCAGGCTGGGTTCTGACCTGGGTGTCATGGGAGAATCCCCTTAGAAGATTATTCCAGTTGTGGAGAATTTGCTTCCTTGCAGTTGGAGGACTAAAGGACTTGTTTTCCTGCTGACTGTTGGCTGGAGCTCACTCTGCTCCTAGAGGGCATTTTTCTGTTCTTGCATTTCATTTTCAAGGCCAGCATAACACAACAGACCTTTCTCCAGCTTTGCGTCTCTCTAATTTCCCCTCGTTGGCTAGCTGAGAAAACTCTCTGCTCTAAAGGATCTGTTGACTAGATCATGCCCATGTACATAATCTCCCATTTAATTAACCCAAGGTAAACTGATTTGTAACCTTAAAAATAGGTGCAACATTTATTTTGCCATATAACCTAACATAATCATGGGCATGATATCTCATCTTATTCACAGTCCTGGGGATTAGGGCAGGAAATCTTGGGGAGGGTTCATTTTAGAATTCTGCCAACCACAGTAATACATGGTCTTAATACATCATCATTTAAGAATTATCTTATTATTGAATATTTTTTCACTGTCCCAAATTGCAGCTTCATTAGTAAGTGCAATTAAAAACTGTGAATATCTTAGAAGTCTACTCTTATTATTACTATGGTATAAATTGTAGAAAGGAAATTAGTTTATCAAAAAGTGTAAATATTAAAGGATCATGATATATGTTGCTAAAGCACTCCCTTTATACTATGGTGGAAAAAAAAATTTCGAAAAATTGTTTCCTGGTCAACTCTAGGTTTCACCCATTACAATATGTGCTATTTACATATGTAGAAAAATACTATTCATTTTAATACTGAAAGCAATACAGACGACTTATTAAAGTAGGTTTTCAAACAGACCTGTTGGGGTCATGTCTAAGGTAAAAGACAAGCACAGTAAGAGTGTTTAAAATTAATTATTTAATTAAACAAAAAACTACAGGCACCCAATGGTACGTGCTGAAGGAGTCAAAGGTGAGACCAGTGTCCTAGCATAGTTCACTGTTATAGCAGATACCACAATGATTTGTGTCATCTGCTGGGTATTCCCATTGATTCAAGATTATTAAAATGTTTGCTACATTGTATTATTCAGTCTGCATTTTATTTGCAGCTTTTCATCATCTCAGGTTTAGTTTCAATTGGCTGCTTATTTTCCTTTATATGGTTCACATTTTCTTGTTTATGCCATTGGATGTTATGAATGATAGAGTATAGAGACTTTGATTTTATATCCCTCTGAATAAATATTTTTATTCTAATAGGCAATTAACTGGGCCTAATAGGAAATTTACTTCCTGTTTTCTTAATGGGCATTTAATTCAGGCCCTAAACTCTGTTTCCCCCGTGTGGACAGCAGCTGCAGTCTCTGCGCATGTAGTTTAGCAACCAGCCAGGGATTTGGGTCAGTTTTAAATGTAGATTTTGGTTCTTGGCTCTCTAAGCCTTTCTTCCTTCTGGAATTTTGTCTTTAACTTTCTGCCTACTCTGTTAGCCTCAAACTCAGCCAGCACTTAAGCCAGTAAGGCTGCAGCTTTCTGTCACCTGCGAATTGGGGGATGCCCTCAGGGAAAAAGCCATAAATTGATAAACCTCACAGACTGTAGTTAATTTTTCAAGGTCAGACTCGTCATTTCTGCCTTTTTGGTTACTCTCTAGTGCCTTCAAATAGTTGTTTTTTAAAAAAAATACTTTGTCTACAATTTGTAATGGTTTTGTTTGGGATGATCAGTTCAGTCAATCTGCCTTTTTACCTTGAACATTGTCTTTTATAAATTAACAGCACAATTGACAGTACAATTAACAGCACAATATATGTTAGTTGAATGTTCCGACTCTTACTATTTCTCATGTTCAGCATAGTGGTCATAGAAGTCTTCTGAAGTTTTTGATCAAATATGTTGTGTACAGAATATTCCTTATTTAATGCTAATTTAGATTGTGGTAGGATCAGAGTGGTCTTGTGGCAAAAATAGCTTATATATCATGTGGTGAGGGAGATGTGATTTAATCTAGAGAATTTTCGTATTTAAATCATAAGATTTCCTGCTAAGTGTTTTATTCCAGGACAGTGGTTTTCAATCCCCCACCCCCCATCATTACATGTGTAATATATTTTTATCAGTAACATTTCTCATTAAGTGTGGTTCTTCTCAGTTTGCAGAACGGGAATGGGGAATGGTAGTGGAGAGGGTGCAGCACTTTCCCTCAGTAGAACCTTTTCTCTAATATAGAAAGAATATTATTTGACCAAAAATTGGACCAGTGTGAACTGCCTCCTTGCAAACAAGTTCTTTTCTTTCAGAGTTATTTTGTACTCTATCTGCTTCTATACTACCATTATTACATGATTTATAATCATCTAAAATATATTTGCTTCAAATTATAAATTTGAAGCAAATATCCATTAATTTTCACTTGATAAATGCACCATATAAAATAAGAAGCACTTTTTTTGGCACCTCACCTTGAAAATACAAATGAGAGTAATTTGACATTGATTTGGACAGGAATATTATATAGTACCTAATATACTTAAAATGCTAAAGCTTCAAAATAAGATAAAAAAGTCTTTGCATTCAGGCATGTCTTAAAAATTCAGACTTTGGGGGAATACTTAAAAAAGCGAAGTTAGGTTACTTAACTCCTTTAAAGACAGAAAGATTTAGAAGTAAAGGACAGTTTCGTACTTGAATCCAGCTAATTAAAGGTTGGAATAATTTGACTTTTTCTGCTGTGTAGTTTTTATTATTGTTATTGTTCTGTTTGTTTAAGTAATATATCATCCAGGTCAATAGACCGATGCTAATGATTTTGAAAAATCAATTTCCAAGATGCATTTTAGGCTCATTTAGATGTAGGATACTTTCTTACGTCTTTTGCAGCTTTAGTACTCTATTGTGTTCATTGATCTTTATTTAGACTATCTGAAACCGTCTTGATATTTTGGAACCATCTGTGACATTAATTACAGGACAAATAATAATGTTAACTGATGTTAACTAACTTATTTAAGATCACAATAAATGCCACAGCTATAATTGAGACCTAGTTCTGTCTGACTCTAAAGCCCATGCTCTGAACCATACCACTATACCTGGATGGCCACCTGAATTTACCCTCTGTATGCTTTGGGGGTTTGGTTTGGTTTGGGTTTTGCTTTTTATTTTATTAATATGCCCTTGCATTCTCTCCTAGATCTTTTCTCAGTTTAACTGTTAGTTTAATTCTTATATGTACGTGAATGTTTGCTGTGATCAGGCTATCCTTTCTGTCTTTCAACCAGTATACTTCTAATTTACTTTTCTGGGTCCCCAGCTACTAGCCCTTAGATGTTATCATGAGCTTCTCAGGCCTGGGCTAAAATTTTTCCATGTCCCTTAGTGACTGGTAAGTGAATATAAATATTTGGGCAAAGGGTATTAGAGCCTCCCCTCTCTTTGCTTCCATTTGCTTCCTCAACCTTCTAGACCCCAGGACAAGTTAGAACTCCTAGGGTATGACACTCTTGCTAGATTGAAAAGGCAGCTTTTATATTTTCACTGGTTATCATGCAACCCTTTAGTATTCTTCTTTCCCCATCTTCTAATCCTCCAACATGGAGTTATGAAAAATGGCACATGCTGATAAAGGTTGAAGTAGTAAGTAGTCCCCAAACCATTTAGTTTACACGTAATTTTGTACTCTGAATATTTTCTGTATGACAACTCAATACAGATTATAAATATTTAACTGACATTGTTTAATTTGATTATGGTTCAGTTTACTTAAAGCTCTTCTTATTCTTTATAAACATTTACTTCATCCTTGTTAAATGATCTAATTCTAATCATTTTTTAGCCTCTTGGATTTTCTAGCTGTATAGTCATATCTACAGAATTATGATAATTTTGGCTCTTCTGATCTATTTACTGCTTTTAAAAACATTTCTTATTTCATAAGTTAGATCCTATAAATTTTAAATAAAAATGGATAAAATTGGCGTCTGTATTCCTGATTTTAACAGTAATTCTGTTAGTGTTTCAGCACTTAATATGATTGGTATTTGATTCTGATACTCATCATGTTTAGGGTGATTGACTGATTCCTTCAGGAATAACTGTTGAATTCTTTGAAAAGAAATTTTGTTATAGAAACAGTCTTGCATTTTCATATGATAATGTAATTAATGATGTTGGTAGATTTCCTAATGTTGTACCATGCTTGTGTTCCTGGAATAAGTTAATTTTATTGTGGTGACTTATTATTTTCATGCTGCGCTAGATTTGCTGATATTTAGTTTAGGACGTTTGTATCTATATTCATGCCATCCATGTCAGATTTTGACATTAGAGCTATGTCAGCATTGTATAAAGTGCATTAGGAGATTTTTTATATATGCTCAAGGACAGTTTGAATGACAGAAATATTCATTTCTTTATAGAACTTTCCTTTTTCACAATCTAGGCTGGTGCCTACTTTTAGTAGTTGATAGTTCTGGCATAGGAATAGGTAAGTTAGACCAGTAAAAAAGAATGAAACACCCCAAAGCAGATTAGAATAACACACATTTAATATATAAGAAATTATCAGTTAAATTGATGGGGAAAGGATGCATCATTATTAAATATGATGTTGGGAGAATTAGCTTTCCATTTGGAAGAAATAATAATAGAGCACTCACTGCTCATGCCATATTCATAAATAAACTTCTATTGAATTAATAACCAATGTAAAAATTGAAACTATTAAGGCATTTGAAGAAAATATGGGGAAATATTTTTTATTACTTCTGGGAGACTTTCTTAAGATGATGGGGAGCCTAGAACCATAAGGGAAAATTTGGCAGATCTATTTAGATTAAAGGTAAAAAAAAATTTTAATGCAAAAGACACTGTAAACAAAGTCAGAGGCAAATAGCAGACTGACAAACAATATACTGGGAGATATTATCTGTCACAGTTATAAAATAGATAGAAGGTTTTTAATGATTGTCTACTTAGTAACACAAAAGAAAGAACTTGGTAGAAATTTGGGGCATTTTATATGCTGTACTACAGAAGAATAAATACAAACAGCCAATAAATATATGACTACTATCAGATAGGGAAATGTAAATTAAAACAACCAGATACCAGTTTCTGTTTATTAAGCTCATCAAAATCTAAGCAATTGATAATATTCAGTACTGACCAAAATGGGTATCAGCAAACATGGTTGGTGGAAGTATAAGTTGGTATAGCCTTTTAAAGTTATTTAGAGACATTAAATAGAGATATTTGCCAATATCTCTTAGATCTTTAAATGTATAACACATTTTGGTCCAGAAATTCCAATTCTAGGTATTTATCCCAGAGAAATAATAGCATGTATACTTTTAGCCCTGTATATATTTATGTATTTGTAAATATATTTGCTTATACTTAGGAAAAAGTTGAGAAGGATACGCATCAAATTGTTACTATAACTGTTAGGAGTGGTTTCTTTGGAGGATAAAATTGGATGGTTGTGATTTTAATGACATATATGCATATAGTTGAGCTAGTATTCATATAGCATTAATGTAACTGATCATGTAAGTAAATGCAGTTAGTAATTGTTTAAAATAAACTGATTTGCTCTAATAGCTAATTTCTTTTATATTTCTATCATTTAAGTATACCTATCCTGGATTTAGAAAAATATTTTATATGCCAGATATAAAGATTGTTACGAGCCAGTTAACTTACATATTTTATATACACTTTGTGAAGAACATTTTAACAGTATCAAAATGACTTCTTCCTATGCAAAAAAAAAAAAAAAAGAGCTCTGGTCCCTAGAAGGGATATTTGTAGTATATCATATGGAATTTTAAAGAATTGGATATTTAAAATACATATATATTTAATTTTAGAATTTTATATACATCTGTGACACTTGGAATGTGGTGAACTGTCATTTGTGGAAAAGCTGTGCCTTATTTAATATACAGTTTTTTAGTTCCTAGCATAGTAAACAGTATCATAGTTGATTATTTCCCTTGGTTTCACTAATTCATAACTGTTGTAATATTTGGTCATTTGCTTCACCAAACTGTATAGTCAGTTTTATTTAGTCCTATTTCTGCCAGTTTCTAAAATGATGTGAAATGTTCCCTAATTTAGATTCAAAACAAAGATTTAAACAATTGAGGCTGAGTTTAGTTATTAGATAGTTTTTTCATAAGTTTCCTTTGATAAATACATTACTTTTATATTGGTTCAGTGATTTTCCTGTTCAATAATATGGACAGTATTCTATTAGTATTTCTTTTCTGAGTTTAATGAGGGTGTGTCATTTCAGGGCATTTGAATATCCTTTAGAACAGCTCTGAGCAAACTACAGCCCATGAGCCAAATTCAGCCCACTGCCTGTTTCTGTAAAGAAAGTTTTATTGGAACATAGCCATACTCATCCATGTATGTATTGTCTATGGCTGGTTTCACACTACAAGGCAGAGTTGGGTAGTTGTGACAAATATTATATGGCTCACAGTGCTTAAAATATTTATTCTCTGGCTTTTTACAGAAGTTTGCTAACCTTTGCTTTAGAACATTAAAATAGTGACTACAGATTGCCTTACATACCTGTATCCAGTCTCTCAAAGGATCTTTGGACAATTTCTGTGTATGCTAACAATTCAATTACTCAAACATATTCATTGAGTATCAGTTTTGTGTTAGGCATAGGTCTAGATACTAGAGACACAAAATGGGGGACAATGAACAAGGCACAGAAAGTCTCTGCCCTCATGAAGTAGAGGAGAGAGACAACTAACCATGAAGATTTTCCTCTTAAAATAAGCAGATCTTTTTTCTTTTCTGATTAGACAATTCATGAATTTGTTAACAAAATATGATGCTGATTTAAGTTTCCCCACTACATTGAACCTCGAATAAGTATTATGGCAATGCAGTGTCCATTGTTGTTGAGACTTGTTTTCTTTATCAGTGAAGTTTGTAGAGGTTGCTCTTCCTTTTCAGTTATTTTAGGTACTTAATCTGTATTTAAGGTAACTTAAGTTGTATTCCTCACTGTGGATGATAGAGGCTCAGTAAGTGTATGTAAAATTCATTGGATAGTTATATGTCAGATTTTCTGTTAGAGAAATTCAATGCCAAAATTTTAAAAAATGTATATGATAACTAACATACATGTGGTACTCTGAGAGTTTGTATATCTTACCTCATTTACTCCTCCTAATAACTCCATCAGTTATTATTATAACTCCCTTTTTCCAGATGATGAAACCAAAGTTGAGAAAGGTGAGGTGAAACAGTTACGAGGATGGAGCCTGCCCACATTAGCATCTTGGCCAGGATGACTTCAGGGCTGGAGCTCTTGGCCATGGTGCTGCTTAATACTTTTTGAGATTTGCAAATATGCATTTTCAGATTGGAGATTGGCCTTAATATAAATAGAACTTTAAATTTACTTGCTCTTTTATCCTTTTTCTTTCCTTCTGTCTTTTTTTTTTTTTTTTTTTGGTATGGATTATTGACATGTGAAGGTACAGGAGATAATTTTCTTCTTCTTTTTCTTTGTGTTTATGTACTTGTGTGTGATTAAGATAATAATGTAATCCAAGAAAGTGGAAAAGAAGGAATCTGCAAAGACAAAACCCAAGTAAACATCACACAGCAAGGAAGAAAGCGATTAATTTCATCAGGAAGTACAGAAAGTATATCAGCAGAGCAAGACACAGGAAAAAAGTGCAAAAATGCTGACCAGGAAGAGTCTGTCATTTCATCCAAGGTGATTTTTTAAAAATTCATAATTTGATTATTTTCTTCTTCAGGTGTTCTAGTTAGGAATAGTTATATGCTGTATATATCAAGGAAAAACCAAAAATGCTTTTTATATTGAGTTTATCAAGATAGAAACTAGCCCCAGTTTTTCTTTTGTTTGTTTTTGGCTTACTGAAACTAATCTTTAATATAGCACTTGCAATGTAGAAAACAAAGCTATTTAATTTAGACATTTTCAGACTGAAAAAAAGGTGGAGACCACTTGACTTTGGTCATAATTTGGTACCTCCATTTTGAAAATCTGGTTTCTTCTATTCTATTGGTCATTCTCAGACTGCCTGTAACTACCTTCTTCTTGATAAGTGTGAAGAGAGGAACAACAAATGGGTAGTTCTTAACAGCCTGTTGCAGGATTACTTCTGGGCTAACTTGCAGTATTTATAAATCTTTTCTTTCCTCTTTCAGTTTTTGCTAAGTCACTAGAATTGTTTGGCTGACCGAAGCATTCTTTGGTACTGGATACTCTAAGAAAATGAGGCCTATTTATTGGATGAATTTAAGAAGAGAGAGAGAAGGGGGAAAAAAAGAGAGAGAGAGATGGCCCTAGGACAAAAAGATCAGGTATTCTTCCTTTCAGGAGTAGGGTGGCTTTAGATGACAGTTTTCATGATCCTTGTAGACCGATGGCTAAGCTTTGTGGGTCCCCATCTATTTAGTCTCATTGAGAGCCATAGGAGTAGGATTGGTTTTAGAATAGCATGCACTGGATTGATGGAAATTCCAGCAGTTATCCCAGAGAGTCAGACCTTTTACAGTTCTCCCCTCACACTTGCCTCCTCTCCCATTAGAGGAGATCCTGCTTCTCACTGGATCCTTTCCTCAAGCTAGAGAAGTGGGGTATAATCACTATAGGCTCAACTCCTTTGCTTGCTTATGGAGTCAAGTTTAATAAATGAAAACAAAATGTGTTCTGACTCATATATTGGCTATAAAGACTTAATAAGGTCAGCAGTGCAGTTTGGGGTCTGCAGCCATGGATGAGCCACGTGCAAGTTCCTGCACAGCAAGGGAAGGAGAATGCTTTTAGAGAGGGGAAAAGGAAGTTGGGAGGGCTATAGTAAACAGAGTCCATGGTTTTTCATTGGCTGAGTCCTTGCCAGGAAGGAAGAGGAGTCTTTCTTTTTCATGTTGTGCTCTGCTGTCATCACAGGGCATGAGAGCTCTGCCCTCTGGTCTCCCAACTCTATTTAATTGAAGTTTCTGTTTGTTAATATTTTACATTTTACCCCTTTTGATCAAGGTCTTTCTCTGAAAGCACTGCTGATCAAGAATCAGGTTTTCTGGTTTCAGTGGCTTTTTGTCCCTTAATGCCAGGAGGGGCCTTTGCTGGGTGTGGTGTCTCACGTTGGAGAGAAAGTACAGATTGGAAACCTATTGAAGTCACATTCAAGTATCAAGGAGAGGTAGGAGGAAGAACTTCCAGGCACTTTTAATCTAAAGTCTCTATGTTATAAAGATCATAGAGATTGGAGAGCATCTGAAGTGTTATGTCATCATCAGAGGTTTGGCAGACAAGGTTCCAACAGGCCTGGTCTGGATATCTTGGGAAAGCTGTCTCATCAGATGTGGCTTCAATTATGGGAAATCTTTACCTTCAGGTCATCAGATGATGTGCAGGGCTAGTCAGGGTTCAGTGCAGTTTTTAGTGTGTCACATTAATCCAAGAGTCCACTCCTTGGAGTTTGGCAGCACAAGGGCTGGTTTGCAGTACCTGATAGGGGCCTTTCCAGTGAGGTTGAAGAGAGTTCTTCTGGAGGTGTTTCTTTCCAATAGACGAAATATCCAGGTTGCCAGGTGACGTTTAAGGTCATCATCTCCCACAAGTACACTATGAAAAGATTGCTCTACCAAAACATGGTTATTTTTAATAGAAGCAATTAGGCCTTTGCAATATTGGAGTATCTCTCCTCTTATCAGTTGTGAGTCAAAAGAAGCAAGAGCCAAGTGCATTGAGCATCCTGTGGCTGTCTTAAAGGGTGAGAGCTTTATGAGTTCCAAAAGGGGTGGATCTGAGATTTAGAAGAACCAATGGCGAGGTATCTGGAGGGCCTTTACAAATTTTGCCAATTGAGTCATAATAATGCCATTAGTGCATTCACCTAAACGAGAATTGAGAGTGGAAAGCACAGTGAAAGTGTTGTAAAACTGGCTAAATAGCAGACTTGTTGAAGTGCCTGATCAGTAAAATGTGTTCCTTGATCACCATGAAATTTGAGAGGAATTCCCCAGGTAGGGATACTCTTTTCTAAAAGGACCTTAACCACAGAAGAAGCAGTAGCCTGCCTGCAAGGGAGACCTGTCTGTATGTGAAAACACATAGACCATTGCTAAAAAATATTTATATCCATGAGCCAGAGCAAGTTGTCAGACTTGAGTGGTCCATTGGACAGTTTAAATTGTTTAGGAGCAGTACAAACAGACTTCTTTGGGTTGTATTTCAGACAAGTGGGACAAGTGAGGTAGATACTTTTGGTGGATTTGTCAATGTTTCCCCATCAATACTGATTCATGAATGCTGTCATTTTGTCAGTAGACCAGTGGTTTAATGCATGTACAGGGGTGCTGAATGGGGATTTTAGAGTCTCCAGTAGGACTGGGTTGTTAGTTAGTCTAAACCAGAGCTTTCTCTTTTTATCAAACCAATAATTTTTGAATTTCTGATCTTGTTTTTCCTTTTCTGAGGCCAGTTGTTGGGTTTCTTTAGCCAGTTTTTCTAAGTTATCATCTGGGGAAATGTTCCTTTGGACCAACAGAATGCTGTTAGCCCCTTTCAGGGCAGAAATTCCCTGCAGAAATGTCAGCAAAGTGATTTCCCTTAGCTTCCATAGAGTAAAGTTTAGAATGCCCTGGAACATTAGTAATAGCTAAAGTGGCAGATAAAAATATTGCATTCCTGAACATAAGAGCCATTTAAAATTTTATTTCCCTGGAAGTAAGGAAGCCACGTTGCTTCCACAGTATCCCAAAATCATGAGCTACTCTTAAAGTGTGTACCATCAGTATAAATATTGGCAGTTTTGCCCTTAGCTAAAGTACAAGCCCATTTGAGAGTGTATAATTCAGCCTGTTGGGCCAAAGTAACCATTGGTAAAGATGCTGCCTCAGCAACATCAAAAGGAGTTGCAAAGCATACCCAACATAATATTTGCCATTGTTACCTTTTAAATAAGAACATCAGTGAACCATGAGAAGTCAGTGTTACTGAGAGATCTTTCCTGTAAATCATCATGAGGAGTCAGGAGGTGATCAGTCAGTGTTAAGCAGTCAAGAGGGACTTCTTTCGTGACAGAGGGGGGAAGAGTAGCAGGGTTAAGGTTATCATAGCATAAAAGAGTTATGCGAGGAGCAGTTAACAAAAGGACTTCCTTCATAGGAGGTGAGGCAGCTGGCTGAGAAATATTGAGGGTGATGAGAATTCAGGAGGGCTTCTATTGCATGAAGTACAAAAATAGTTAGAGGGGATCCCACAGTTTTCTTGGTGGCCTTAACCCAAAGGGCAGTGGCCATAATGGCTTTAAGGCAAGCAGGATATCCCTGTGCCACAGGGTCCAGTTATTGGCAATAATGCAGTGTGGGTTGATGGTGGACCCCGTGGTTTTGGGTGAGTACGCCAAGGACATTCTCTTCCTTTTCATATACAAAAAGGAAAAGAGGGAATTTGATAATTGGGATTCTCAAGGGCAGGTGGGTTCATCAGACTCAACTTTAAGGCCTTAAAGGCTATATTGTTTGGTTCTTCCCATAAGTTTGAGTCATGGTTGTTATTGTTTAATAAAGCATACAGAGGTTTGGCCATAAGAGAGAAATTTGGAATTCAATTTTGGCAGTAACCAGCTATCCTGAGAAAACTTTGCAGTTGGCGGTTAGTTTGGAGTTTGGGAAAACTTAGGACATCATGAAGTGTATCTGGATCTACATGTAGCTGTTGTTCTGATATCAGATGCCCTAAATATTGAACCTGGGTTTGGGCAAACTGCAATTTTTCTTTGACAACCTTATGTCCCTTTCAGGCTAAAAACTTTGGCAAGTGAATACTGTCTTCCTGTGAGGATGATTGAGAAGGAGAGCAAAGAAGCAAATCATCCACATATTGCAACAAAGTAGAACCTCTAGGGAACTTTGTATAATCCAGATCAGCCTTTGGGATTTGTGAGAAATAAGAAGGACCCTCAGCAAAACCCTGGGACATTACTGTCCAGGGGAATTGTTTTTCTTCCCAAGTGAGAGCAAAAAGGTATTGGCCAGCTTCATCAACTGGAATATTAAAGAATGAACTACATAAATCAGTAACAGTAAAGAATTTACTTCCAGTAAGAATGGATGTTAGTAATGTACGGGGATTAGGAGCAACGGGGTGTCAAGGGATAACAATGTTGTTTACTGCTCAGAGATTCTGGATGAACCTCCACCCTCAGCCGTTAGGTTTTCTTACCAGGCTGGTGTAAGGGATAATGAGGCCTTGAGCCTTGTAATGTTCTATTATGGCTTTATGCCTTTAAGGGCTTCTTTTCTTATGGAATATTAATTCTGGAAGTGGTTTTGAGGGCTCTATTTGAATCTTGATGGGAGGTGCGCTGTGAATTTTGCCAGTATCTATTGGAGTTTTTGCCCATAAGGAGGGTGGCAGCTGATTCACTAGGGACAAATGATCAGTGTTTCCAGAATTAGCTCTAGTGCCATCAGAGGCAAAACAAATAAAAGATGTCAAAGGATCATTTAATTCACCTGATTGGTTACTTTGATGACTATTGTTAAATTCTAGAATGATTTCCCCCTTTTGGGAGAAAGAAATTCCAGCATGATACTTCTTTAAGAAGTCTCAGCCTAATAAATGAATAGGGGCAGAGGAACTAAGGAGAAAAGGGTGTGCGTCTCTCAAAGGGCCTAAACAAAAGGGAATAGGCTCAGGGAGAGGAAACTCTTGAGGCTCTTTAGAAATCCCACTAT